CCCTCTGCCCTGAGATCTCTGCTCTGCCAGTGTTTGTCAGAGCCCTTCAGGCACCTGAGCTCTAAATCCTTGCACAGCCAGAAGTGTTTCCATCACCCCAGTGGGTGGCAGCCTGGCTGGCCTGGGGCTCTGAGGTTGCAGTTCTTTGCTTTCTGCTTCTGTAGCTGGTTTCCCACGCTCTCCTTGCCCCAGGGTGGCAGGTGAGAAACCTAGACTGTTCTTTTTGTGTGAGTGTCTCTTACTCTCCCTGGCTGGAAGTTTTTTAAGATTCTCTCTGACCTCAGAGTTCAGAAATTCTAGAACATGCCTGCGTGTTCAGCCCCACCCAGCCCCCAAATGCCTTCCTTCTGCACACTCCGGCCTTTCTTTGGGGCTCTGTCTTGTATTTCCCTTGCTTTATTGTCTCTTGCCTTCAGATTCCACTAGTTGTTTATTGTGGCTCCTGGCTGTACCTCTTGACTCTCCTCCATTTTCCCTTGTGGTTTTGTGATTGCCGTTTTGCCCCATGTGCAGAGGTATCCAATCTTTTAGTGTGACGTTTTCACCTACAGATGTGCTGGGTCATATTCATAGCTATCCTGGGTGCAGGCTGCAGGTTGCACACCTGCTAGGGTGTGAGATAATTCTTATCTTTTTACTGACTCATGGGAGTCTCAGTGGTGACCCTACAAGCCTTCCGGTCAGGTCACACTGCTGCTGCTGTTTGTTTTGTTTTGTGTTATATTCTGTCGCTGAGTCTTCTCTGTTATTTCTACTTTGAGGCAAGCTCTCACTGTGGAGCCCTGGTTGGCCAGGAACTCAGTCTCTCAGCTTCCTGAGTGATGGGATTCTAGGTGTGAGTTACCACACCCATGTTGGACCCTGTTGCTGCTTTTTCTGTTTCTACCCACAAGGCTTTGCTCTTCCTTCTCTAGAATGAGGGGATACATGGAATGAGAAAAAAGGAATGGTGACTCTGACTCCCAAGGGATGGTGGTTGACATCCAGCCCTTTTCTTGCCCACTTTTATCCACCTGACTCAGTCTCAGAGGAAGAAGAATAGCCCTGGCTTATCTGTAGACATTGCCTGATTGTCTAGGGGACCACAGTGAAATTTGGGGTCAAGTTTGTTCTAGGTTGCCTCTGCCCTCCATGCAGAAGTGGTTGCCATGCCTTCAAGAGACATGAGAGCAAAAAGAACAATTAAATTAGGATCAGAGAGGTGCTGAAAATTTTTTGACATTGAAAGTTAGTGGCAGAGATCTTCAACTATGGATTGGGGCTCAGAAGGTGTCCTGGGTGCACATAGCATGGGGCCCTTTTCTCCTGTGTTCCAGCTCTGGTTGTCTCAGATGCTTGCCTGACACAGCAAGTTTACTTCTGCCCCAGGGTCTTTGCACCTGCTACTCCTGAAGTCTGGAACTTGTCTTCCTCAGATTCCCTCCCTCCCTCCCTCCCTCCCTCCCTCCCTCCCTCCCTCCCTCTCTCTCTCCCTCCCTCTTTCACTTAGGTCTCTCAGATACTGCTCATTCCTCACTCCCCACCCTCCTTTTCTTCTTGACCCCTCATTATTCGCTGTAGCCTTTACCACTGTGTTACACAATATTGTATGTTTTGGTTTTTGTCAAACCCCATGAACACAGCCACTTTTTCCTTGCATTTTTGTTGTTGTTATGATACAAGGTCTCCCTATGTAGCCCTGGGTGGCCTGAAACTTGCTATGTAGACCAGACTAGCCTCAAACTCACAGGGATTAGCTTGCCTCTGTCTCCTGAGTGCTGAGATTAAAGGCATGTGCACCATACCTGGTTCTCATTTGTGTTTTTTCCCAAGCACTGAAAAATAATCTTTAGCACACAGTAGGCTTTTCTTAAGACTTTTTGGGATGAATTAATGGGTGGATGTTAAGATGTGATGGAAACCCTTAGGGATATTGAAAGTACTTGACCTATTGAAGATAAACTAAGGATGGGGGAGAAGAGACTCTAAGGCTCCTGCCCACAGCATAGTATGACCTCAATTTGGAGATCACATCATTAGCCTAGCAATGGAAGTGACTTGAGAATCTAAGTGGCTTTATACAGACAGGAACAGAGGAGGCATCTCTTGGAGCGGCTGCCCTGTGGTTGGAGGCTGTATACATCAGCAGACCAGGTGCCCACCACAGAGCGGTCCTGTAGGGCCTGAGAAGATCACTGTGTCTACTGCAGGGTGTATACAACCTCCAGGAAGATGCAACTTAAGGCTGTAGGCCTTGGGCTGAAGAGGTGGCTCTCTAGTTAAGAACGTTTGTTCTTGCCGAGGACCTGGGTTCAGTTCCCAGCAATGACATGGTTACTCACATCTGTCTGTAACTCCAGTTCCAGAAGACTGACACCCTTTTCTGACCTCTGCAGGCACCAGGCTCACACATGGCACACATATACGTGGAGACAAACACACATAGCATAACAATAAATAAAAGTTAAAAAAAAAAAAGACTGTCGGTCCTTTGTGGGTCTCAGGCTCCCTGGATCCCATCCTCCATCCTAGCTCCCAGCTTTCCAGATGACCCATCTCCCAGAGGAAGGGCTTCAGTACTGGACAAGAGGCAGCCTGCTTGGTTAGTGGGCAAGTGCCCAGATGGGTACCTGCTGCTTTTCCTCTCTGCTTATTCCATTTGCTTCTCAGTTTATCTAAGGTTCTTCGTCTCCACCCCCTCAGATCCTGTTATGGGTAATAAATAGATGAAAAGAAATAAAGGGTGCTTTTTCTCCAAAAGAAGGCAAGCTGAAGGGGTCCTTTGGGTGTCTGTAGTGTAGGTTGCTGTCAGCCCTGGCCCAGGGCCCTTTCACACTAGGAAGAAGGGAAACGTGGTTATTTACAGTGACAGCCAGGTCCTCTGGCCACCTGCCAGGGCTCCAGGCCACTCCAACTGGTAAAGGGCGAAAAGCCACAGCTTTGTCCTCCTGATGCAAAGCTCCCCTCTCTGCCCTTCTCGGGGCTGTGGACGAGGAACAAGAAAACTTCACACGCACCTCAGTCTCCATAGCTGTGCTTTCTCTTTCCCCAGGTGCGGAGATTGAATGGTAGAGCCAGAAGGTCAGTGCAAGCTGAAATGACAAAGTATTTTGGGTGGAATTAGGTCTATTCCTGGCCAATCTAAAGAAAAGCTCTAAAGAAAAAGATATCAAAAATGGCATGTGAAGCCCCCAACAGGCGAGAGCCCGACGAATCCTCTGCTATCTGCCTGAGGCTGGTCCAGCACTTTTTCCCTTCCCCCTGGGGGCCTGCTTTCTCAGCTACTGACAGCCAGTGACCTTGTGCACTTAAATTCTTATCTCAGCATTCTCTGTGACTTTTGCTCTCCTTGACCTCACACCTGTGTGCCTGAGAATCTTATGGCATCCCCACATGGGTGTTTTGTGACAAAAGTCCTTGATTATCTTTAAAGTTGGTCTCTGTCATAGACCTTTGGGACTGTTGCAACAGAAATATGCTGGGATCTTACCAATGACAGAAATTCCTTCCTCGAAGCTCTGCAGGATGGAATTGGGGACCAGTTAGGTTGGTTAATGGTGAGTCCTCTTCTTTGATGCAGAGTCAGAAAGAACTCTGGTTTTTCTTACCTCTTCTGATATGGACACTGTTTTAAAGCTATGACCTTGGGGGTTAGAGTTTCAACTTAGGAACTGGGAGGGATGAGAGCCTTCAGCCCATAACACTCAGACTCCATGAGTAGCATATCAGCAGCAGCCAGCTGTGGATGCCAGCACCATGCTTATGTACTTGACCGACTAGCACACAGCACACGTGGACTAGGGGCAGTACATGTCAGACGTCAAGCAGTTTTGGCAGTGTGGTGATAGTGACACTTCTTGGAAAAGGCACTCCATGTTGATCATTGTATGTTCTTTTTAGAAGGGCTGATCTGTAGAAAAGAATTAGGAAAATAAATAATGAAATAGCTACATTTCTCAGCCCCTCACATTTCACCACTTTGGGTATCCATTTCTCTATCCTGCTTTGTATGTCTGTCTTCACATGCATAGCACATAGTGTGTGTGTATGTCTGTGTGTGTGTGTGTGTGTCTGTGTGTCTGTGTCTGTCTATCTGCCTGTCTGTGAGTGTGTGTCTGCAAGCTGGATCACAATGCCTTGTAGGATTCTAAACTTCTCACTTAAGACTATATACCAAAACCACTTTCCCAGCTATTTACAGACAATTGCAAAATACAATAAGACACAAAAGGCAACACTGGTAAAATAGATAAAATGAAGCCTACAGTTACTTTGTTTTCTTTTGAGCTCAGTATGAGATATGTGACAGTCTTTCATTTTAAAGTGCAAGTACCCAATTTTGACCCAATTTGAGAGACATTTGGTAAGCATTTTGTCCTTAGACATAGTTAAAGATGGATGATAATGATGTTAGGTTTCAGGGCAGCTGACTCAGTGAACCCCTCAGTGCTCTGGCTGCAGGGCACGTGGATCTAGTCAGCCTTCAACACCATTTTCTTATCTGCTGATTCAGTCAACTGCAGGCAGGCTTGGGAGATGGCGGGAGCAGCGTCTGGGGAGGGTGAAGAGTAGCTACTAAAAATGCACAGGTATTTTTCCTTGTGATTACTTCCTAAGCAACATAGAATGACAATTGTTTAAATAGCATTTGTTTTGTGTCTGTTTCATAAATAATCTAGAAATGCCTTAAAGTCTGTGGAAAGATATGCATGCTATTTTACAGAAGGCGTTTGTACATCTACGGGTTCTGCTATCCACTGGGATCCTAGGAGCAATCCTCTGTGGATATCAAGGAAGGCTGTGCCTTCTTTGTCGGTGGCTTCCCCTGTAGGTTTTAAATGTATACATGGATTCTGTGGGATAGTGGATGAAACTATTGGTGGCCCTGAGGGCAGGACCCCTGTGTATCTGGCTTGTGCTATGGTCATTGTGCCCAGACTTAGACCTAACACACCATTGCTTGAAGGCTGGCACTGCATTCATCCCTTAACAGGTGCTCATGGTCTTTGTGTCTTTTTCAGGAGGAGTTGAGGCCAGGCCTTTGGTTCGGGGTGTTGGTGGCCGAAGTATCAGCATGAAGGCACCTCCTGCTTCCAGATCCAGGCATGGGCCCTTTAAGACCATGCCCCTGAGGTGGTCCTTTGGACACAGGGAGAAACGTCCTGGGGCATCTGTTGAACTGGTGGAATACCTAGAGTCCAGAAGAAGACCCCGCTCTACCAGCCAGTCCATTGTGCCGCTCTTGACACGTGCTGCTGGGGGCGATGAGACGGCAGCTTCGCCAAGGTCAGATGTCACCCTTCCTGCTAAAAGTGAAGACAGCGGTCGAGCCATTGGGCAAGGAACAACTGGGGTGCCCCTTTCCTCATGTCACCTCAACCACCATCAAGCCCTGGGGTCCTTAGATGATGGTCTGCACACTGCCAGGACACGAACAGGGAATGCAAGTCAGGATATCAGGCTCCCAAAAAAGTTTGACCTGCCCCTCACTGTGATGCCCTCAGTGGGGGATGAGAAGCCAGCACACCCTGAGGGCCAGAAGATGACAGTGTGGAAGGGAAGTAGCCAGGTGGGAAGCCAGAGTAGCCCACCTTCCCCATCCACTGGCTTGCTCAGAAACTTTAAGGACAATGGCCCAGGTACCTTACCCAAGATGAAGGCTAAGGCTGCCCTGGAGGAAAGGGCCCCTGACAAGGGACAGGGGACATTCACTCTTTTGAAATCTGTGTTTTGGAAGAAAGAGCACAAGAGGACTGTCAGGACTGAAAGCTCACCACCAGCACCCCCAGTCTCCCTGGCGAGTGACCGGCTGAGCCCTGCCATGAATGAGCATGCCCGAGGTTCGTCCCCTGCCCTCAGGATTCGAGAGAGCCCAGCCAGAGGCCTGGGCAACCACACAGAGAGGGACATCCGATCTGCGCCCAGCTCTCTCCACCTCCCCCGAAAAGCCAGCAGGCCCCCTCGAACCAGTACAGCTGGCATCTCACAAAGGACCATTCCTGGGGAACAGACTTCTTATGGCACCCTGCAGAGAGTGAAATACCACACCCTTTCCTTAAGTCGAAAGAAATCCTTACCGGAGTCCAGCTTCTGATGGAACGTTTCAGTGTTGTGTGAAGCTGGCATTCCTGAGGCTGTGCACTGAGCATCTGTAGGCTGCTTATGTCCAGAGTGGATTTTCTAGAATCCAGTTAACTTGTGGCCTCCAAAAAGAAAAAAAAAAAAAAAAAAAACAAAACGAAAAGTTTGTCATATTCCAATAACCCAGTATCAAAGTGGTTGGGTTCCCATTGCTGGGTTTTGATACAGCCTGGCCACTAGACGGTGCTGCTGAGCCCAAATTATCACTACAAGGCTAAAATTAGTATTTGGTATATTTAAGTCCAGGGCCTGCCATAGTCTACTAAAAAGACTCTGGTGTCATGTCAGATACTAACTCTCACCAACTTGTGTGCTCCTAACTTACATGCCCTACTTTTCTTCTTTCCTTCCTCTTCCCCTCCTCCCCTCCCTTCTCCTCTCTTCTTTTTCTCCCTCTTCCCCTCCTTCTCTTCCTCCTCCCCTCCTCCCTTCTTTTCTCCCTCCTCATCTCCTCCTTTTTCCCCTCCTCTCCCTCTCTCCCTCCTTTTCACCCCTTCATTTCTTTCATTTTTTAAAATAAAGGGCTTGTAAGAAAGATCTTTTCCTTTTCATGCTTGTCTTGGATAAGTGTCAAAGATGCCGAGAAACGAAAAGAATAAGAAATAAGAGTATGACGGTGGCAGCAAGAGATGGGAGAGAAATGATTGATGTTTCAGGAGAGTATTTAATATATAACAAGGAAATTGTATTACAGCTTTTCAAAGTATTTTAAAAAGATAACTATTTTGATACCAGAATAAAGAAGTTTTTTTAAAATATATGAAATCGATGCACAATTTTAATAAAAATTGTGTCTGTGAAACCTGCAAATGGTGGACTGAATTACTGAAATTTGAGAAGTGACTCACTTCCTTCCTGTTGCATTGCATAGTCAGTCACAGCTTGTTGCTATCTGTCAGAACGCAGTTGCCTGTGGTGTTTCTGAAACTTAAGAGAAAAAAGCTCTTAATTAAAATTATTTGTGCCTCCGTCCATCCTTTTCTTTCCTTCATTTAAAAATGTTTTAAATTTGTATACACTTTTGAGACAGTCTCACTCTGTAGCCCGTACAGGTCTTGCACTCTTGGCAATCCTCCTGCCTCAACTTTCTGAAGGATTATAGACATGAACCACCATGTCTAGCTTTTGACTTGCTCTTTATGAAGGAGACTAAGGCTTCTTTCTCTCAAGGGAGCAGCACCTGTGAGTCTGAGGCTGTCTGGCTGACTCTGTGCTCTCCCCTGTGCATCTGTGTATTTGCCTGCACTTCAGGACCTGGTCTAGGGATACCTGACAGTTTCCTACAAAGACATTGCAAAGCCTAGACCCAGGACCGAGGCCAGCAGCAGCTCATTGGGAGCCTCTTAGATAAACATTCTTTGGAGGGTGCTTCCTTTCTCATGGGATATTTCTTCAAGACTCCTGGCCACAGGAATGTAGTCTTCCCCCAGACCACGGTGTGGGTTGTTGCATGTCTCTGCAGCATTTTTTTTTTTAAATCAGAAAGAATGGAATCTCTTCTTTTCTCCAGTGAGGAAGACAATTTACCTTTCATCTAAGCAACAGTTGCAAGATAGAACTAATAACATAATCAAGAAGCTGGAAGACCCAGCTACCAGACCCTGAGGGCTACCAGTTCCCTAGCAGGCCTATGTGTTTACATTCTAGTAGCAGCCCATGTTTCTTCAAATCTTAAATTGTCATGTGTGGGCGGTGTGGCAGATGTGGCTGATCCTTTGCTCCTGGCTGACACCAAGCTCAGTCTCACTTTGCTCTCTAAAATTGTGTTATACCTCAGGCTTGCACCCGGTCCTCTCTCTTGGAATGATCTAGACTCTGGGATTGTGAGAGGGTCCCAGATGTTAGCAGTGTTCTCTGATGGAACACACTGGGGCATCTACTCTAGACTCATAAATACTCCAGGGTTTGGAAAGAGGCAGTGACACTTGGACCCCAGTAGGTATCTGTTTATAAGACTATGGTCCCTATCTAATCCGTTTCGTAGGGCTGCAAGATGGAGCTGGTAGGAAAGTTTGCAAAAACACTGTCAGAAATGGCTGGTTTCAACTCCTACCTAGATTGGAGCCGTAAGACCACGTTACAACCTTGGCTGTTGTTGCCTATTGCTATGAAGAGATACCATGACCAAGGCAACTTAGAAAAGAAAGCTTTTAGTTGGGTGCTTGTTTACAGTATCAGAGGGTGAGTCCTCTGATATCTGTCGTCAGAGGATGCAGGGTGGCCATCAGGAAGGCATGGTGCTGGAGTAGTAGCTAAGAGCTCATATCTGATCCACAAATAGAAGGCAGGGAGAGAAACAGTTCCACCATCTGGGAACCAGGCATTTAAATATATTAATGAGCCTATGAGGGCCGTTCTTATTCAAATCAGCACAGCTGTTCATCTGATGAGGTTGTAGGCATCAGGCTTCACTGGAGGAAGAGGCAGAGCAGACCATCTGAGCAACTTTCTAATCATGATACTCCTATGGGAACTTATAAACCAGGATCAGAGAAAAGTTGGGTACTCTAAAGCCAGACAGCCTAGGCAAAGGTAGAGCTAGCTCCATGTGAAGAGAGGCCATCTCTCCTATGGGAATCCAGATACTTGCCTGGGTCTAGCCTGCTATCTGAGGGAGGGTCACAGGTTTGATGCTGATAACCTCATTCTAAGGTGACTTCAGGTTCGAGGCCTTTCTACTTTCTGTTCTTGTCTCTTAGAGGAAGGAAGGGCTTGTAGGTCTTGGGCTGGGAGATCACGCAGTGCAGAAAAACTACAAGGATCCTGATGGTCAGAGGAGAAAGCTGGGAAGTCTAGTGGAGAACATAGTAGGAGTTTTATAGTGACAGTTCTGGGCACCATAATAGTGGTGTGCTTGCTACATCCCATCAGACAATGTCACCTGTATTGATCCAGAACCTTTATCTTGAGGAATGGTAAGTTAGTCAAGCTCCCCAAGATGTGTTTACTTTCCTATGAGGATGACAGGTCAACATTTACAGCCATTGAATGAAAGGTGTTCCTTAAGTACTTTATTAGCCTGTTTAATTCACAATACTTTTAAGAAAAAAAATCGGTTACATTGTGTGTGTGTGTGTGTGTGTACACAGCATATGTGAAATCAGAGGACAACTTACAGGAGTCAGTTCTTTCACCATGTGTGTCCCAGGGACCTGACCCATGTCATCAGGCCTTGGTGGCAGCACCTTCACCCACAGAGCCATCCTCATCACAATCCTTTGAGGTAGGTACTGTTAACTCTGCTTTACAGAAGAGGGAACTGAGGCATAGAGAGTTTAATTCACCTAAGGTCACACAGCTACTAAGTTACCAGAGTCAGGATTTGCTCTCACTGCCCTCTCTGAAATAATCAGTTTGAACCAAATTAGGGCAAGTAAGCATAGGGGATGGTTTAGTAACCTGGGACTCTACTTGGTTTGGATTACACACACATATACCACCACCACCACCAGCAGCAGCAGCAGCAGCAGCAGCAGCAGCAGCAGCAGCAGCAGCAGCATTCACCAATTGAATTGGCAGCCTAGCTTCTTTCTATGTACATTGACCCCTCTGAGCAATGCACCTGACAACCTCAGACCCCCACCTAACCTAGCTACATGTATACCCATCTCTGCACAATGGGACAAGTTTCTCCTACTCTAACAGCAATAGAACTTACACAGCTTTTGTTCAGATATATCTCCAACTTATTAGGAAAGAATGGAAAGGCTGATCCAGTTTGAACTGGTCTTGAGAACATATGCACCAAGGCAAAACTGTCCTCAAGTTAGAATTCCTACCATCTTAACCTGTGCGTACTTGGGAATGCATATGATTAAAATCAGGAGCATTATGGGAAGAGACACGCACCAGTAGGAAAATGGTATCATGATGTAATCTACCAATCAAAACGGAACCACCTTTATTGGGCCTTTTAGCAACCAAACTCCTCCTTCTTTTGAGCTCCATAAAAAGAAGCCTCAAGCAATAAGCAGACCCAGAAGTACTTTCTTGTGTCCTGCTGTCCATCTTGATAGTATACCCCTGCCTAACCTGTGCTATAGCTTCACTTTGAGTTAAGTTGCTTACTTTCACAAATCAGTGTAAGCCCTATTTCAATCCTTTGAATAATAAACCACTAACTGAACCTGGGAACATCTGGCCCAGACCCCAGCCATGGATAACATAATTGCTTCTGACCTTTCCTCCTCATCAGAATGCTGTGTTGTTCTCCACTGGGGTAAGATCAACAGTTAACCCCGGGGTCTCTGTGTATTCATTCCAGCAAGAAGTTGGCTGGTCAGCATCTGAAAAACTCCTTGTCACTGGGCTTGCTACTTGATTAAGTCTTGATAAATTCTCTAAATCCCATTTTTGTGCCAAATTGGGGAACTGAGTGCAGATGTGATAGGAATTAGGGCATGTGGCAGGTTGTTTTCTATTTCTGTGGCCTTGGCTTTGTTCTTCCAGGGAAGCAATCTTGCTTTGATTCACTTTATATCTTTGGCGGGATTGCTTGAGTGACTTCAGCCTGAGCTTACCATAATTGACTATAAACATCCGGAGGCCTCACTGGACCGTACATACTGCTTCAGGCTCTGTCAATGTAATAAGACGTGAAGTACACAAGGTACTGCCTGTAGTAGTTGGAAAAGACGATGTAGTGGACGTAACCAAGGTAATTTCAAACTTCAAATATTAATGGTATAAATTTGTGGGTCACTTGACACTGAGTCAAGCGAAGCCAGTGTGGCATTCTGCCCCTCGCAGAGACCTAATGATCTGTAGGGATGTTGAAAGAGCCTCAGGAGAGACCTAGTTTCCACTGGGGCCACTTGGCTGACAAAGCCTCCTGGGCTTTGAATTCCTGTGAGTGTGGCCAAGGCAAATGGACTTCCTTGTGAGAAAGGCTGGGGAAGGGGGCAGTGGATGTGGATGAATACGATAGCTCCCGCCAGCTTGTCATTTGCTTTTATATTTATTGATAGCTAGTTGATTTTGGAACTTGCTCTGCCAACTAGGCTGGTCTGGAACTCAAGGAGACCCACCTGTCCCTGCCCTGCCACCAGGGAGATGTGCTGAGATGAGTGAGCAAAAGGTCAGTGCCACCATGTCCTTCTTTAAAATGATCGGCCAAGATGTCAATCGTGTGATTGAAGATGGGTTAGAACTCCCGATCCTTCGGCCTCCATCTCCCAGGTGCTGGAATTACAGGCATGTGTTACCACACCCAGCACCATCCTAGCCGATAAAGGAGTCAGAAGAAAAAGTTACCACTCCTTAGTGTCAAGTAGGTTTCTGTTTTGCCAGCTCCAAAAGTATTTGGGGATTTGAGATTGTTCCCTGGTGAGAAGCTGCCTGCTGACTTCATTTCTGGAATAGCAGCCTGATGCATATTGTGTGTGGCTACCATGGGGGAGAGCTGGCTACGGGTCTGTAATCTGGCCTG